ATAATTCCAACTATTTATGCAAAGACACTTCTCACACTTCACCTAACGACGAATCCGCAAGAATGTGGTGGTGTCAAAAAGAGTGCTGAGCGCATTTGCATATAAATAGTGGTTACGGTTCATTGAAAAGGCAAGTGCCATTTGACAACACACAGCCACTCAAATGTACAACTATGCAGGTAAACAAAATGTTTGTGTGTGTGTATAAACATACGAGCTTGTTTATATAAAATATTTGTATAGTTGCCTGTAAACTCATAGCCATAGCTCAAACTAGCCAAAATAAAGTGACTAATTCGTTACTGTCTTCCACAAAGCTAGAACTATACCATACATTTTGGTAAACAAATAAGCAAACATAGAAATCCATTAAGCGATAACACAACAACACCAATAACTACATCAATTGGTCAGATGCGCTCAGTTGATTAGGGAAATGTGTCAAATTAGCGCTCATCGAAATGGCATAAATTGACACCTATCTAGAATCACTGACAACAACAAGAAAAGCTCGAAAACAAACATTGCTTCTTCCAGTATGAATGGATGAAATGAATCAGTAAAAGTAGCATCTAATTAACTCGTAAGCAATTCCTTGCCATGCAAATGGCTCTTGCCGCCAAGCCGTTGGTGTTGAGCAAACAAAATGTGTTTGTGTGTGTGCGCGTGTGTGGGAGTAAGTTGTATGGCCACATTGTTGCAATCAGGCGTGCAGCAACACCGCCAAATACATTCACAAATCGAGGTTGGTGATGGCGTTGGTATTATTCACACACATGCTGCTGTTTACCTCTTCCCGATCATTTGCCGTTTATTAACGGCATTTTTTTTGCGTCAGGTTTATTCTTCTTTTTTTTTGAAGATTGCGCAGCCGGATAGTCATTGAAGCTTAATATCTAGCTTTTTTTTGTTTTTTTTTTTTAGACCGTAAGGAGTTAAAACCCCTTTGCAACATATAGGCATTGTCATTCCGTCAGTGGTGTACCCGCTAAAATACTCCGCCCTTCTATCATGGATTTTTCCCTTTCCGCGAGACCGCTTTCGCGTTACTTCAGAGCACGGTTTCCAAAATGAACCCATTGCGGTTAAATTTCTTCAAACAGACTTTATGCCGCATTTTTATGTGTTTTATCTACATGAAATTGCGTGGAAACATGTCGCCGAATATACTTAGGTAATGCCACAAGTTAACGCACTCCGCCCAGTGCTTCTCTTGGTCAAAACACAGCCGATATAATGATTTCCGTCTTTATTGCTGACTTTAGTCTTTTAGCCGTTGCATTGAACAATATACTTTCTTTCACTTTCCACACTTTTGGATTTTTCTCATAGCTTTCAAACAGTTTGAAATTGTTTGTTGTGCAACCTTTAACATGGCTGCCATTTGCTTTTGACTCAAAGTATAATCTTCATCCAATATTGCTTGCAGTTCGGCGTCTTCAAACTTTTTTGGTGGTTTCCCACATTCTTCATTTCTCAAATCAAAATCATTATCTCTGAACCGTTGAAGCCATCTTTTGCATGTTGATTCTGCAGCACTTTTCTTCAATTTGCTTTCCTCAAATCATCACTTTCCGATACAAAATTTGACATTTTCAACACAATGAAAAAATATGATGTTGTTTGTGCAATGACTGTAAGGTTTTAGAATATGTTTGACAGATGTCATGCCAACCAACCAGAAAACCATTAAGGCCCGTTCACAACAAATGTTCTCCACCAACACATTTGTATCTTTGCGCTCACTTCATACCTGTACACCGGTATATGTTTGATTTAGAAAAAATTCGTTAACACCATGTATTTGCACGGCTAACAATTTTTCATATTTAATAGTATTTATTATTATTTTATGGAACTGCTAATAACACTAGTTTACAAATTAATAAATAAAAGAATATAATATACAAGCTAAGGTTTGTTTAATATTTTTGTAAGCATTGTTTGTGTTTTTTTTTTTTTGTTAATTATTTTCTTAATAATAAGCAACTTAAAGTTATGAAATAAAAAATTTAATGTTAATGTTATTGTAATATTAATATTAATAATTAAATTTTTTTATAAACTCAGTACACCTTAGTTGTTAACAATGTTTTTTAATTGAAAGGATAAAAACTTTGTAAACCAGTGTATGTTAATCAACATAAGCAAATACTTAAAATTTACACACGTTGTCAAACTGTGATCAACATTTTTTAGAAATAGTAAAACTTGTTAAAAGTTCGCTTCGAAAACAAATAACTACTTAAAAGTGTAAACAAATGTATTAAATAATAATAAATTCACTTGACATTCAAATTGATGTGTGGAAATACAAAATACGCCACATGTCAAATATTAGGTAGCCGAGAGAAGTAGATTTTTATTATTTATCCGCCATTTTTGCCTAAATTAATGCAGTAAGTAGGAACATTTAATGGGCAACTGTTAGTTGTCTGTTAAGTGCCACTGTTCAACATCAAACACTACTGTTACCACCCAGCCGCAGCACAGTGTTGCTTTTTTAAACATATTGACACATGCACATACATTTTTGTATAAACATTGGTGTATATATTATTGTAAATATATATATTATGGCAATCCTTAAAAAGTCATATGCACAATTTTCAGTCTCACTCCCTCATTCGATACTATTATGGTAATAGATTATATTAATAGATAGATAAAGAAAACTGACACATACTGGTCCAGCCGACGCTTATAAGAAGTATGTGGAAAATTGGATTACGCATTAGCATTCTTGTATTGACTCAAAAGGAGCCTATTTTAAAGTCGATAATAAAGAGTTGTGAAAATGAACGTGAAAATGTTACCAGTTCGGGAGAAATTTGATCATATAATAATTTAAAATGATTTCCTATAGCGCCAAGCAACTAGTCTTTTTCTTTCTATAAAATAACTATTAGACGTCTGCACATTTGTTGAAAAAAAGTGTGTCTTCTGAAATCTAAAATGTTAAATGTTACCCACTGAGACTCACATAAATTTGCTCCTATCAGACATATACATATAAGTCAATGACTAACATAAAGCCGTTTCGATTATATGTCTGACTTGTAATATATTTTCAAAATTTGCCAATTATTTAGAGACCACCCTAATGTAAAAACAAAGTATATGTTCTGTTGTTACTGTAAAAAAGTTCCGCCCAATCGTGCTAAGTGTTTTAATTAACATGTCTGCCGCCATACTTGCCAAGCATAATATTGTTGTTATGACTATCACCGGCATATTAGTAATCATTCATAGGCTTTCTTTCGCTCATAGCGCTGTCTTTGTATTTTTCTTAGTCTAACTAACAGTTCTTTGTAATTAAATGCAATAAATAAAGTTTAAACAAAATTTAGAAATATTCAAATAAAAAAATTCTTCCTTCAATGCAAAAATCTCTACCAGCATTCTTGTAAACTACTCTTAAACATTTTTGAATAATTTTTCTACACTTTATATATAATTTTATTCCCTCATAAATATTTGTTCTTAATAAAATATCATTCAACTTGTATTTAATGCTTTAATTGTGCTCCCATATATTGTAGTTAATTTTTATTTTAGGCTTTCATCTAAGTTGAAGCATCTTTTCCATCATTCGACTTGCACAAATTAACAGGCCCCCCCCAACCGCTGACATCCACAGTTGTCCAACACTTGATGTGGTTAGTTAGTTAATTACTACTAAAAGGATAATCATGTCGCAGCCTAGAAGTGCGTTAATGCGTTTTTCTCATTTATTTAAGAAGTATTTGCACTAACTCTCCCAGCCCTTTACATATTTTTTTCACGTTCACTTATATTCTTTTTATTTATTGTGCTGTATTCCTTCTCTTTTATAGTGGCGCTAAGAGTATAGGAGTTTATGTGTATTTCGCAAATAAATATTTTGTAGACTATTTACTTTGATTCCTTGTCAGAGAGTTATTTCTAAAACTTTTAAATATGCCTAGGTTCTTAAAAATGCAAAAGTTGTTATTCCTCCAATCAACAATGGTAGAAATAAGTAGTGGTGAAAAAACTCTCAAGCCAGTCGACCTAACTCATTTGGTACATGCTAAATAAAAGAAAAATTTGAGTATAAAAATCCCATTTTTAATTAGCATAAAATAACAGAGGTTAAAGAATTTCGGAGAAAACCCGGTATCTACTTGGTAGTGAAATTATTTAATGAATTTCGTCCCTAACTTCATCTATTCACATCTTATAAACGATGTAGAGTTGGAAACTGCGAATTTCCATAACCGTTGAAGAACTCATTCATACAAAAAATTAAATACTTTATATTACCTTTTTATAATTCCGAAGATACATATTTGGTAAAGATTTTGTGAAATTTTCAAAAGAAAATATTCAAAACTCGGTTATTGCGACTTCTTTTCCGACAGTCGCTCTGAAAAAAGGCGCATTGACAGCAGAACTTCTGATAAGATCCTCAAAAGTTAAAAGAAAAAATACGTGTTTGAACTTAGACTATAAACCAGGCATTGGACGGAGGAAAAAACAAATGAAGTGAAAATGGTATTTTTGACAGACGTTTTTACAAAAAAATGCAAATTTTGGTGAACATTTCTCGAATTAAATAGTTGTTATTGAACAAAACAAGAATCCTCCACGGCAAGCCCTTGTAAGTTACATTTCAAATACCTGTGTAAAATTTCATTAAGAGCGGTTGCATAGTTCGCAAGACATCTTGAAAACCGACTTTGGAAACACATTTTCGAGAAAAACGCGTTTAAAGTTTTAAGTGCCTATATAGCTGACCTCGAGCGCGCAACTTTTCAAAGCTGTGCCTTCAAAACTATTACTGGGATCAACTTGAGAATTTAGGACAATATTTTAGAAATGTTATAGAATTAAATAAGACAATACAATTTTTTTTGTTTGTTTTTTGAAGCCGCGAAACCCATGTAACCCCTTAAAAGTTTATCTACATTCTGAAAAAACTTTAACCTCAATAAAAATTGCATAAATAAATTTGAAACTTATAAAAGAATGTTTTTTAAAATTTTCCTTTATTAATTTGAAACCTTTGCTTCTTTAATAAAAAATCTTAATGTTACCAATAAATATGCACGAAAAATCATAAGCAAGTTGACTCAAAGCGATGTTATTAACTTATAGCTGATTTCACTCGATATGATATGCTAAACCCGGTTTCCACAGTACTCCACTGCTCATCACTATTAAAGTACATCTGATACGGTGCGCTTGCTAAAAAAATTTAAAGCAGTTAACAGTAAATTGCGTTTGCTTAAGAGCTCCCTATAACATACCAATTAGTTCCTGACCGGCGGTCAGAGCCTGTCCACAAAAGTAAGTCGGCTGCATGCTTGCATCGTCTTTAAATATCGCATTCCATATCATAAGATAATCGTTTTGGCGACCATCGGTTAATATCATCGGGTGACAATTTTCGTCGTAGAAATTATTAGTTTGCTCCGATGATAAAGAAAACCTATTCACTGTGTATCTGAAATTTATTAAAAAAAAAAAAAAATTATGAAAACAGAATATTTCTCTCAAGCCTTATGCGACACTTACTCGATCACCGAAGACCCGGGCAACGGTCTTATGCAGATTGTATATTGTAGATTTTGCATATAATATATATCTCCGAAGCTTTTAATTGTACCTGTCGGTTGACGGAAGTACTGACTACAGCCGGTTGGCGCTAGTAATTCCCAATCGCTATGTTTCGCTGAGAATATCTTACGTATATCTTGTAAGTTTGTTTGACCCATGAATGGCATTACCATACTGTTGGCACCGAAACGGTTCCTTGGCTGTGGACACTCCAGTTGTGTGATCACCAAATTCCAAGAGGATTGTGCCCATTTTGTTGAAAATGAAAATTCCAATGTAACTTGCGTGGCACCCGCCGCAACATCGTAGGGCAAATATATATGTTGACCACTATTTTCGCCGCATATCGTAAAACTGCCAACTGTAAATCTGTCACCGCAAGTTGAGGTGCCAAGAGTCGCATCATTGGTCGGTTGATTCAATTCGAACTGTTCAAACTCAATGAGTAACTGACAAACATTGCTGCTATAGGGCGCAATCACATATTGGCACACGTTCGGTAGCTGAATGGGATTTTTGATGATTATACGCTTAGAGCTGGAAATTTGGCCACATTGCAGATTTGCTGGAGATGCAAAGCGGGGTGAAATGTGAAAAAGTGAAAAAATTACTTTATATTATATAATGTGGTTTACTACAAGAGACGTCTTTTAAGTATTTGTAAAATTTTTTCAAAAGAAATTGAAAAAAGTATAATTTTGATTATAAAAATAATATTATGTTTATATGTACCTATATGAAAGTTTCAAATTTTTATTTTTATTAATTATTTTAGACGTGCTTTTATGATAAAAATTATAATTATAAATTCAAATGTTCTACACGTCTCTCCTGAATAATTTCTTTGAGTAGAAGTGGTAAGGCTAATCTGAGAGCTCTCAAAAATACATACATAGGTCTAACTTTGATTATTTGCTTTTGTAGTAAGAAAAAGATAATCGAATTTCTCGCTTTCAGGACTCTCAGTATATATTTGATGTGCATATAGAATATAAAAAATGTATATAGAAATTTGGTGATAAAACGGCTGGCATTGGAACCATCTTCGGTATTACCTTTTTAAAGATGGTCTTTAAGGGCGACGGTGATTCTAGGAACTCGTGCTTTCTTAAAACAATAAAATGTCCATATCTCAAGTTACACAAGATATACTAGTAAAGTAGTTAGGCTTTTAGGTTAAGGTTAGTTTGTTCACATAAATATTTGCCAAAATGACGAGCTTGTAAAAAAGTTTACATTTTCGATCGGAAAAATAGGCAGTAAAAAATGAGAAAAACTCATTGACTGACCCAACCGCTTCGGCACTACAACGGGTTGGGCAGAAAAACATCTTCGTACTATTTTACCAATTGAATAATGGTTTTAAGACCCTACAGTATACTTTAAGCTAGAAAAAATTGTTTTTGTTTTTTGAATAACTTTGACAGGCTGTCCCTTAAAGAGAAGATATCGACGAGCTTTTACATAATAATTTTTGGAATTAATGAAAATTTAGAAAAAAGATAATTCAAAAGTATTTTTTAACAAATATTTCACATCAAATGTTTTGTATAAACAAATGCCGCTTTGAGTTCAACCTTTTTGCTTAACTTCATCTTCACTTCAAAACCTGCGGCAGAACTCTGAATAGTATTTTTGGAACAATAACAATAAATAATAAATTTTTTATTTGGCTCAAATAGACGTGTTTATGATTTCAACTAATCTCCCGTCGTGTTCGACATGATGCATATAATATTTTTTTTATAACTCTTGTGTTAATGTTTTTCTTTGGTTTGGAATCATAAATCCCGGTTCGAGCCACTAGTCTTTAGAAGCATGTGTGCTATTAAACTAAAAACAAGAAGATTGCGTATACATACTATATCTAACTGTAAATCTCTCCAAATATCGAGAGCCCATGCCTAGTATTGGACATTTCGCTAAACTTGCAGAACTCTTCGAGGCATATGTTAATGTTGGATATCAATTTCAGAACTTTTCTCAACATTTTCATGTTGGGCACTACTTATTAACTTTTGAACCTTTAAGCATTTTTTTTTTCATAATTTTTAGAAAATTGCAATTCACTCACTTTCACAACACACGCCATAGGTGCTGCAGTATCCTTTCGGCATGCCACCCTGACGCATACAATTGAAGCGCGACAAACAAGTGCCCGATGTGCCTTCGTTTGTGGTGCAAGCATTGCTGGCCGAACTGCGTCGCGATTGTCGAAACATGCTGGTATCCTGCGCTGACTTATACGAATATGCATAACTTTCATTTAAATTATTATAAAGGACATTATCTTTCCACAAAGCGCAAAGTGCCGTTTGAATACAAATTAAAAGCAAAATTATATTATACCACAGCGACATAAACATATTTGTAAAGTGCTTTATTTCAGTGCTTCTTTTTTTCAAATAGAAAGCTTTCAAATTTACTATCACTCAACACTTTGCTTAAAGTTCTTTTGTTTGTTATTTCCAGTACTTAATATTTGTGTTACTTTGAATAGCTAAATTAATTACAATCACCAATTCACTAACGCTCTCGCCCACACTCGTATAACGCACGCGTACGTACCACAAACTGTGCCGTTAGTTACACGAAGCTTTCATTTTATAGATCGGTCATAGCACACCTGACCGATCTGACTTGACGCACGATGCGTTGCCGCCATATCGCACATTGTTGGCTAGAGTAATCATTCTTCGTTGCACCAATCGTACGTTCGTTGACTCGATCTTTGCTTGTCGATTGTCCGAGCGTCCGCGCAATGGTATGCGTCTTGGATACCAGCAAACACAAATCATAGTGCGAGTGATCAAATTTATTCTTTCGCTCACACACTTTTACACATACACACAGGTAGATACCGTTCGTCGCTTGTTTACAAAAACAACAACGTTGAAATCAAGTCTAGATCTACTTTAGTTATGTGCAAATATTTGCAAGCGTTTTAAGTGCTCGAAAGTGATATGCAAACTCGCAAAATAGCGAAATGGTCTTTGCGAAAATTTGCCGTTTGCTTTAAATTCACAAACTTTTTATTAGTTGTTGTGTTAGTAATATTTTTTCTATTTTAATATACAAGTATATATTTGCACAAAATAACGCTCGATCTTTCTGAAAAGTTGTGTGGTCTCTATTGGAGCAATAAATGTGCGCCACACCGCTTCCAACCAACCGAGATCGCTGCGTTCTTTTGACTGTTATTCGGTGGTTGTCTTCGTGAATGTACGTGTGTATATATGTATGTAGGTATGTATTTCACACCCATTGACTTGCATGATTTAAGCTACTAATTTGTTTCGTTTTGTTTTTGGTCACAAATTTCGTTAGTTAGAATTTCTAAATTAGGCAATGTTTGCACGTACATATCTTAACCAAATATTGATTTTGTTCTGTTTTTGATGTAAGCACTTCAGTCTAACGGTATACTTAGAGTCTTGGTGGGATTTGATGAACGAATTTGGAATCGTTTTTCGAATTTTTTTTAAATATTTCATTTAGAAATGGTTTTGCTAATAAATGCATACTGATTCGAAAATATTGCATTTCTAAATTCAAGTTCATGAATCCTCACCGAAATCGAATTTATTAAAGTTTATTAAAGGTGCGGTCCTATGAATATCGAACAAATATTTGTATAATATCGAGCGCTATATTTGCTATAAATTGGGTCATTTGTGAGAGTATTTTATATTCTTCAATATGCTTTGTCCGAAAACTGAAGCCAGTGTTTGTACAAAAAAAAAAAAATATGGCTGTTGGGCGCTTACCATTGGGTAGTAAAGCTCTAATGATTCCAGCCAATCGACGTAAGCTCGACATAATTAGCGGATCGTGTATTAATGACAAAGTTTTATGATGAATTTGGAAATTCTGATGTACTTGTATTGTGTTTTCACATTTAATAGTAGTTCGAGCCGAACTAGTAGAACTCCATCGTATCTCATGTTAATTGCTTAACATAAGCTGTCTTCGATTCGCCATTTTTCTGCTCGCTTTCTCTACACGCTGCTCTGTTGTCAAAAAATTCACCATAAAAGCAACAACAGAGCTATCGAGTTAAATTGATACAAGAGAGTATCCGAATGGCTTAACAAAGTGGTATAGTTTCTATTTTTACTGCTACCAAGTTTTGTTATGTTAGATTAGTTTTATTATTGTGAATGGTTCAAAGGACAAATTACTATTGTCATATATTAATATAAAAAGATTTTAAATGCTTAGGGCTTAAAAGCAATTTTAATTGTTTATCAAAATCAAAACTTAGGGGTAACTAAAACGTTTTTTGACGCGTAAAAAAGAATGCCTACATCAAAAAAAGAAACGCAACACAATTGCCCACTCGTCAGAAAACATGTTAGCGCAGCGTTGCACTGCATGTGCTGCTCATTTGCTTTAACAGCTGGTATAGTTCGATTCGGTACTCTCCAACGCTTGGCGAATCGAACACAGCTATAATTTTCAAAATCAAGAAACTCTGTTTAAACAGATCCAGATCTTAATATATTAAGTATGTGGTTGATGAGGCCTATTCTTGGGCAAATATTTTAAGTATTGTTAACTAGGGTGATGTTTAAGGAATTATTCTTAAAAGTGCTGTCATCTAGTTTCTTCGTTATATGTTTAAAAAAAGACAAAATTTTCAAAAACAAAAAAATTTGAAAATTATGTTAAAATATGAGGCTGCACAAGTAAGTGCTGGTACTTTAAGTTTTGTTAAGTTAGAAATATAATTCTTCCTCAAGAAGTACAGTTCTTGCTAAGCTAGTACGGAAATATACACCATACAGTAATAGAAATAAACATTTTGTTGACTGCGAAATTCTATATATTTTTTAAGAACGATTTCATATACTCTCTTCCAAAACACATATTTTGAAATTTATATTGATGATCAGCTTTTAATTCTAAGCGGCTGCTTTAGTGCGGTATTCAATGCTGAATCCTGTTTCTTCCGAATGCCATTGCTCATCGCTGGAGAAGTGCATAATAAATGGTCTGGAACCTGAAATATTAAAAATTAAAATTTAGATAACAACATCAAGCTGGATCAAAAAAATCTTACCAATCACAACTTGACCCGCCGTAAGGCCTTGACCGCAAAAATATGTCGGTTGAATGGCGGCGTTGTCCGCAAAGTGCGAATTCAGTATCATAAGATAATCGCTTTGACGCCCCTCGGTGAATATGAAAGGACGACAGGCCTCGTTGTAAAATTCGGTCGCCAACTCGGAAGACAATGAAAATTTGTTCACGATGTATCTAATGAATGCAAGATATTAGATACAAATAATATTAGGAATGTACAGTGCCTCCAAATTATAGATATGCCACTCACTCGACCAAATTTGCCGTCATTGTTTGTTTAATACATATCGTATACTTCAGATTGGTCATATAGTGTGTATTGATGCCATCACGATAATTGAAGCTCTTAATTTGACCCGACGGCTCAGTATAATATTGATCACAACCAGCTGGCGCCAGCAAATCTATATCACTGATGAATTTTGAGAAGACATTGCGCAAGTCTAGTAGATCTTTGACCATACCGCCAATAAGCGGTGGTAAGGTGTCGGCTAAATGACTCGGCGCTGGTGGACACTCGAGCTGCTCGACAATCAAATGCCAATTTGATTGCGACGAACGCGAAGGTAAATTAAAGTTTAGTGCCGCTGATTCCCCTACAAATGGTATATAAATGTGTTGACCACTATTGTCTCCGCACAGCGTAAACCGTCCGACTGTGAAGGAATCCGTACAGCTTAAGGTATTCGTAATGGAGTCCGTTGTCGGCTGTTGCAACTCAAAATGTTGAAAACGTATGAGTAATTGGCAAACATGGTTGCTCTGACGTCGAATCGTATATTGGCATGTAGATGTGGAAAATTGTTGTGCAGGGCTGCGTATAACAATTCGTTTAAGACGTGTCGTTTGGCCGCATTGGAAATTTACTGTAAGAGGAACAAAATTAAATAGTATACAATCTTAAGTCATTTAGTAGAGTTTCAACTTAGAATTTAACAATAAGCCCAAGTGAGAATATTTTCTATAACAGTATATCCTGGTAACTGGCATAAATGAAATGCAAGCCCTCTTAATCTTAGAACCAAATGTACTTCGAAAAATATCAAACGAATTCATAAAATTATCTACGGAAGAACCACAGAAGAACAATGAAAGTGCAAGAAACGAACTTCTGGAACTCGATATAGTCAAACCGCACTAGTATCACGGCTACGGAATAGTTGAAAATGTTGCAGAAGTGAGGAGTATAATTCATCACAAAAACAAGTATTTGAGTGGCACAAAGCATTCAGTGGAGGTCGTGACGTCATCAAAAACTTACGTGAGTCGTCCATCCACCTCTGTTAATGATGATATCGTCAAAAAGGTAAAAAATCTGTGCTTGAAAAGAGTTGTGTTGGCATCAGATAATTAGCAGAGGATCTATAATATCTTATGGATCGACTCAACACATTTTATTAATGTTGTGGATATGAAGGTGTCAATGCTAGACTCTTACTAAAATACCTGAATCTTTTGCAAAAACGACATTGAGTAGAGGTCGCAAAAAAAAGCTTTAAAACCTAGCGCAGGCCCCATATTTAACAAGCACATCATTATTGGTAATGTGGTGTGATGAATACGATGTCCAACAATCTAACGAGTGGCTCTCCAATAATGAGCCGAAACCGAAAAAAACACATCAAAGTCGGTCAGCAATCAGCAGTATCTTCCAGGCGGAAGACTTTGCTCTCAGGAAAGTGGCAGAGATAGCTAACAACGTAGGAAACAACATAAAGAATATATACATCGATATCCAGGCAGCAATTAAGGCAATAATCGCACATCGCAATTCTTCATAGAATGTTCTTAAAAGCAGAGAGGCAGTAGATGTAGTGGCTGCATATACATATACTGGGCTGAAGGCAACAAAAGAGTTCCGGAAAACTCAATAGCTGATAAGTTTGCAAAGTGCCATCCGTCTGTCTACTGAACCAGTACAGGAAATATATAAGTCACTCAAAACGATACACAGTGAAATTTTCGAAAGGACTGACAAACAGATTTAGGTGAGATGGAATGCTTTAATAACATGCAGGATCACCAAGATCGTGTGCAAGAGCCCCGAAGGAAAACACGGTTGCTGTTTACTCACACGCTCTCAAAAGGACTGCAGAATATGCGAGCTGGATGATCATAAGTAACATACAGAAAGAGCAGGGAAGTGGACATGAGAGACACGCTGGTACACCTCTTATGCCTCTGTCCAGCCTTAGCCTTGAACTTCACAGTGCAATGGACAACATGAAATATCAAAATGAGATATCAAGTCGTTCTTAAAGTTAACGAAAAGCATAATTCAGCTCAAATTAAATTGAATATTTAGCTGGCATTACTAATGACCAGTAGGTCTATTGTACATCGTGACAGCCGGCCATTATAACCTAACCTATGAATATGTTACATATGGTTATAGTAGAGTAAAGGAGAATGACGCGGTTGTTCGTTGATTCATATCATTTTATTATGAAATGTCTGGTATCTACATATATGTAATTGATGTGTTATTTCATTAATGAAGATATCATTAGCTTAACCAAATTATGTCATATATTACAATTTAATGCAAATCCGTCACAGTTCTTTTAAGATGAAACTAACTTTCTACCTAATCTGACATAACCTAACTTTTTGACATAATAGGCGCAAAAGACATATTCTCTGCACCTGAAACTTCAATAAGGATAGAATATACCAAAAACTAGATTTTCCACTAAAATTTTACTTTCACCTATACTTACATATTTGCGCCGAGGACCACGCAATAAGCGAAACGAGGCACACCAAATACTCTACACGAAACAACATTACACCAGAAACGCATCGAAATAACTAAGAAAACATATTTTTTTATTTGCCATTAAATATTTCACAAGAACATAGTGAGTTTGCAAGAGACTCAGCAGCTACGCAACAACAACAGATTGCAAAACTGTCGAGATACGCGCCCAAAACAGCAGAAACAAAAAAACAAAATCAATTATAATTAGATAATGAGTTGTTTGATTTTTGGGCAATACTGCCGAAAACCTATCTAGAATAGAAGCGCGTTGTCGAACAGTTATGACACATCTTTGGCGTTGGTTGCACGCAGCAAATATAAGTAAACAAATAGAGGTGCGGTAACGGTTTGAGATAACGGCAAGTTAGAATATCACTTAGTAGGATTTTACTGATTGCAGCAGCTGTGTCAAGGGCAATAGAAAGGTTGCGCGGCAGCGCTGGAAATATAGTTGACAATTATTTATCTCAGTTTCACCAAGCAAACTCAAATAGTAAACGAATTAATCTTAAAAATTTAAGTAAATATTTATGTAAACGTCTCATTGTAACGTGAGATATCAAATCGAAAAATATGCGCACCAACGTTCACCTTTTCTTCACGGCAGCGACACTTATTATTTGCGGCACACCTGTCGCTTATTCTGACACCAACGCCGCCAAGCCCAACTGCGGCACCAGCACCGCGGCGAAGCATATCCAACTGCTGCAACCGGAGAATCTCCCACAAGAATGCAACTATCGCATAAACAACTACAACAACAATGTCTGTCAGCTACGCATCGATTTCTCATTGACACTCGCCCAGCCCAGCATACCCGATGCGCAGAATGGTTTGTGGTACGTGCAGTGCGTGAAAGACTCTCTCGCCGTAAACGGGTTAAGACTGTGCGGCACTGAGGTGGGACAACACATTTATGTGCCCTTCAATCCCAGCGCTGGCGTCAAGAGCATCGATTTGACTATCGTTACTGCACCGCGTTCGGGAACCGACGGAAATCTGCCGACGCCACGCTGGAATATAGTCATAAGACAATTAGAGTGCACAGGAGATAAAGCGTTACGTGCATCTTTTGATGCGCTTGAAGTGGCGGAGTATGATAAAACGCAACTTAAGACCAATATAGAGCTACGAACCAGCAGCGGAGATAATTTCCTTCTTGCACCACCTGGTTGCTTGCAATACTTTCCACAAACCATTGGCACTATTACTTCGTTCAATTATAATGGTGGTACGGGCATTTATCCCCCGAATTTGAATTATGCCATTTGTTTCCGTCGTCAGGAGTCGACCAAATCGCACGAGTAAATTTTCATTAATGTTGTTACAAATTGTCATGCTAATAACGGTAAATCTGTTTGTGTTCACAGAATTAAGATGCGCTACTTTAGATTGGGCGCCGAATATAACCGACAGAAATTTCAGGAATTGGACAATTATTGCCGACCGCAATTGCGTAGCGAAGGCTTAAGTGAAGATTATTTACTGATACCCCAAGCGACTATTGTGGACAGCAACATACGCGCAACATATTTCTGCGGCAGCAGCATACAGGGTGACACTGTAGCAAGTAAACACTTTTTATGGCAATAAATTTGAGTTTATTAATAATATTTGAATCTCTGATTTCAGGCACCAACCCAGGACCACTTGTGCTGATTTTTAATAGCGATGGCAATTACAAAGCTGGACAGGAAGTTGGGTTCGCTTTAGCACAAAGTTGTAATAGAAAAGTCTAAAATATGGCAAAGAGAGCTCCGAAGTTGCTATTTGAAGTTTAAAAAAGCCGTTAGTCCAAAGCTTTGTGGCGACTTGATTGGTGGCAAAGCTAAAAGCAAGTAGCATATAAAAGCTTATGTTGTCCTGTGCTATTCAGTTACACTTTTGTGCTTTATTGTATGCAGTACTTTGAAGCTTTTTGAAAATATGTGAAATGGCACGACAAACGTTCACTGCTGTATATGAATAGAAATACATTTTATAAAGCTGTCATTGACCTAATATCGTAACCCGCCTAAGGACCAGTTTAGCGCAGTTTTGTCGACCTTTTCCATATTTTCCATCTGTTATGCTGAACTTGTAAGGTTCGCCGTTGCCACACTGAATTTATTCGCTTCTACAAAAATTTCTAAACTTTATATGTGGTCTACAACTATATTAAAACGGTTTTTTACTTCTTCAAAATGTCTACCTTTTTAAAGAAAAACTTGCGTTATTCAAAGATTTCCATTTAAAGTTATAAACTTTTCCATTTTTCGGGCGATTTGTGGATTCAATCCCAATCAGTAGATTGGCGGTAAAGAATGAATAAATACAAGTTTTGATAAACAGTTCTATTTCGAAGGTCAGGGAGGCGTTCTGCATCGACAAAAATAAAGAGTAGTCAGAAGAAGCAAGGTCTGGGCTATAAGGTGAATGGGAAACTTCCCAACTGCTGTTTTCAAATAGTTTTTAGCCGATCTTGCAAATGTTAGGCCGAGCGTTGTCATAGGAGAAATTATTGCCTCATGTCTAGTCGCAAATCTGAGTATTCAATGTCCGTGCTAAAAATAGAAATACCATTCAAGTTATAGATTCAAACATCAAAATTAGAAATAACTATACTGATAATTTTGTAAATTTGGACCTTAAAAATTTCATTTTATGATATCTATTTTGTATTACAATAGCTTGAATATTTGCAGTAAATTAGATTCTAGTTAGTTAATTATATTTTTCCTTACAATTTGTTATAAAATTTGTAATCCGCTGATAACCTTTTTCCAAAATATCCTGACAAATCTTCTTTCAGTTTATAATAGTAGAATACATATTATTTATCTGATAACATGTAAACTAGGGTAACACTTCTCAAAATATTTTCAATAAATCTGTATATATATGTATATTATAACTTTTAAAACGTTATTTTCGGTTTTCTATCTTAGATACTATTATCTTTCAAACACGTGGCAACCTCTAAATTACTTTAATTCAAACAACCCGAATATTAAACTGTTGTAGTCAACTTTTCTTTTGTCGAAATTATTATAATATATATATAAACAAAATCGATCCATAACCAAAATTGCAGAAAATAATTTTGAAGTGGCTCATCAAATGGGTTATCAGAATAGAACAATGAACTTAAATTTATTCACATCATCAATTTTTATACATGAAATATTAAAATAATTATTTTAACTTCATTTTATTTATTATAATTATTTTATTTATTCATTTTATTTTATTTTATTTAATTTTAATTTTATTTAATTATTTTTATTCATTTTATTTATTTATTATTAGTTACTTTTTACATGTTCTTCATTATTTATTTACTTATATTGAACATGACCTAAATAGAACTCAAATATTTTATTTACAGAGCTTCCTTCAGGCGGCCAATATTTTACCCCACTCATACGGCAACACTTTGTCTGCTCTATCCAACCCATCGAACATGTTGCTGTATAAAGAAATGGCGCTTTACGCGGCTGCCGGCGGTGAAAGAAACAAAAACACAACCAAATTGCCGGTTGCCGACAAACGCGACAATATACTAAATCAACGCCAGCGTTTAGCAAAGTCATACAGAAAACAACGCTAATCGTACACGGGAATAGCATGTTGTTGTCCAGGCAACGAGGCTGCGAACATTTCTGCTACCTAATTGGAATTTTTAACCAGATGTTGCGCAACATGTTGCTGGCAAGGGCATTTAGAAAGGAGCAGAGAAAATTTACGCAGACAAGGCGTAAATATAAGGTGGGAGTTGCAAAAGTATATATATATAATTTTTAGTAATTTCGAAAAATTTGTATATTCACATATCCAAATATTTTAAAATAATTATTTAGTGGTAGTAAGTCATTAAATATACATGACTTGATATAATTTATTAATAAGCGTATAATAATATCAGCCTTTAAGGGTTCCCACCTTCATTTCCCTTCAAATTTGTATCACGCACTATTTACCGGATAAGTACAAAGGTTCGAAATGTTGTTTTCAAATGTTGCGTTCAGTTGTCGCACAAAAATGTTGCATAGAAATGTTTCTAGTTTTGGTTGTGTGGGCGTTTAAATACATGCAACTTTGCGTGTGCTCCAAAAGTGTTGCCGGTAGTAGAATGCCAAACACCACCCATCTAACGAACAAGTCGCCACTCGTTGTTCGCTGCCCGCTGCTGTTGTCTTTGGTGCTTTGTGCTTTGCATGTTGGCGCAATTCAGTCTTTGCCGAACAGCCGCGAAATATTAGCGCAAATAACGGACGAGTGAAAATAACAAATGTGGTGATTAGTTCAATTAATTATGAAATTAGTGTAATTGATGCACATAAATGGTGTTGAAAAAGTGAAAATAACTAAATAATTGCTTTGTCTTGTACAAAATAATAAATAATGTACTTAGACTTGTTATATTTTAATGAAAAAGAACGAGTAATAAGTGTTGTAATTCAATCGATTGAAAAGTAACGGTGGATCAAATGATTTCAGTGTTCCCTACAGAATTTAAATTCGTGAAATGGTGAAAATAATTACTTTCACTGTGTTATAAAGAAAATTTACGGAAAATTTTAATGAAATAAAAATATTATTAAGTATAACGTAAAAACAGAAATGTAAAAAAAAAAAAAATTTACTGTAGTTAAAATAAATTCAAAATTAACTCAAATAAGTGTGCAAAATTTCTTAATTTCTCATTGAATAAAATATAAATAATAACAATGTGTTTTATAATAAAAATTATACCCTGCATTTGAAACTAGACAGTTGTTCTAATTTCTGCTTTCAGAAACACACCGCAGAAATTAAATTTTATTGCAAAAAATATAAAAAGAGATCAAACAAGAATTCAAATCGCTTAAAAGCCAAGTGAAAGTGAAATTGGATCAATTAANTGTACTTAGACTTGTTATATTTTAATGAAAAAGAACGAGTAATAAGTGTTGTAATTCAATCGATTGAAAAGTAACGGTGGATCAAATGATTTCAGTGTTCCCTACAGAATTTAAATTCGTGAAATGGTGAAAATAATTACTTTCACTGTGTTATAAAGAAAATTTACGGAAAATTTTAATGAAATAAAAATATTATTAAGTATAACGTAAAAACAGAAATGTAAAAAAAAAAAAAATTTACTGTAGTTAAAATAAATTCAAAATTAACTCAAATAAGTGTGCAAAATTTCTTAATTTCTCATTGAATAAAATATAAATAATAACAATGTGTTTTATAATAAAAATTATACCCTGCATTTGAAACTAGACAGTTGTTCTAATTTCTGCTTTCAGAAACACACCGCAGAAATAAATTTTTAATTTTATTGCAAAAAATATAAAAAGAGATCAAACAAGAATTCAAATCGCTTAAAAGCCAAGTGAAAGTGAAATTGGATCAATTAATTAAATAAGATAATTTTAATTGCTAATTCGGCGAAGAGTAAATATTTATTATGTTTGTTAAAAACCCCAGATTTGCAAATTAAATAAAAATATACTTAAATTATTCGTTGCTGAATAAAAAATATTCATAATTGTTACAACGATAACAGCTAATACTAGTAAACTAAAAATAAAATATAGAGTTTTTGATTTAAAAAAACTAAAATTAATATAAAATAATAAAATAAATTAAATTAAATGTTGAAAAATTTTAAAATTTTTAAAAGGGTTTGCTTAATATTTGACCGTTTCGGCAGTGAAAAATAATTACAGGTGAGTAAAATATATATAAAATATAGTCAAGCGACTATAAAATGGGTTGCTTTACATTTAGAAAATCGTATTTTTTTTTTGTCTATTAAATTCATTATTTTCGGCGCAGAAAATGATATAGATAGCACCTATGTTTATTAAACTTTATTTATGTGTATAAATACTATAAATAAGACTCCGTTTAAGGCGTGTAGGAGCTTTCCTTAGTCTAGCGAATTTTTCTTATCCATATGACCTTCGATAAGAGCAGTGAAATCTGTGTTTCGTTTTGTTTTTATTGGTTTTCAATACATTTTTACGTTTTGATCCTCTGAGTACCTCAGTCGTACATATAGCAGTTTGTGTCTGAATGTTTTCCATGCACGAAATATACTCTACTCTGTTATCTTTACTATGCGCCTTTATAAAAGTTAAATTCAAATCTATTAAAAGTCTTTATATAATTCTATGGAAATCAGGCCAAATAATCAGGTCATCACGGCCTGATTGGAATACGTTAAGGAAGTACCACTTTTCTGTAAGTCGGAAATTGACATGATTTATTTATGCTCAGGTACAACTTTTTTCGTAATGCTAGCCGCATGCCTCAAAACAGAATGCATGCTAATAAACAATATTCAATGATATGCCTAAAAAAAAAACTAAATACTGCTCTTCATTGTATTCACTTTAAATATATTTTCATTTACGGCATTAACGAATAAATCGGGACAGATTTCTTAGCTGAAAAGAGTTTTCAGCTCTTTATATAATTTATTCCTTAACGCGTGCAAAAGCTGGGTTCCACATAATTGTTGTGTAACGTGTGTCAGACTGCTAACTAGGTTGGGCTAAACAAGAACCCAGACATATGCCATTCGCTGTACCAATGATTTGGATCGAAGCAATGGATCATGTAAGTGATTGTAATTTTTGTTTGACTCCAACAAAAGTCATTACAACCAAGTCCAAACGCACTACCCGTATTCAAACTTGTCTTTGGCCGAAAGACCCATTCTCTATATTATATGTAGTGCCGTACCGCCTGTGCCAAAGCCTCCAAATCGATCAGAAAATCATTATTCTAAAAAAGGATTATTTGTAAGTCCACAACAAACTCACCTGGATATGTTTTGTGAACGTTATCCAAAGGAAATCAGAAATCGGAAAATTACAAAAACTTAATAAATAAACTTATAATGTCATAAAAAGCTTTGGGGTGTAATATGTCATTAAAAATACATATGCTGTACTCTCATCTGGATATATTTCCAACAAATTTGGGTGCTGTGGGTGACTAACAAAGCGATAGATTTCATCAGGACATTGCCTTAATGTATAAGCGCTATCAACAGGAAGCGCTATCGCAGAAATGCTAGCAGATTATTGTTTGAGTCTTAAAAAAAGGCCTTCCAGGACCCAAATATTTACGAAAAGTATTTTTTCTATATTTAGCAATAATTTCTATAAATGTAGCTGATGTTTGCACTGTTTAAGAAATTTTGTTTTGATATCACAAGTAAACCTGGTGTGTCACTTGCTTTTTATTCACATATTGTTGTTTATTGGCCCAAGTACAAGTATATTCAAAATTTGATATGTGTTTTCATGTGACAAAAAAAAAGTTAAATTATAGTTAACCAGTGTTATCAATCGCCTCGGCGATGCCAATTGGTAAACTTAAAGTTAGAATATGACAAAAAAAAAATCTACAAAATTTTATAGAAATAAATTTAAATAAGAAAAAATGTTTACCTTGACTGTACCAAAGCTATAATACGCTCCAGCAACTCTAGGTATAACTAAATCTGAGAACGTAACCGGCCAACGGTTTCGTGAAGATATCTTGCCAAATAAAAAAGTTGACCATGCAAGAATTTGATTTTTATCGGTTAGTTTGTATATTCACTGATCAGAAATTAGCACAAACTGACAAATTAGTAGCTTCTTAGGGAGAAAACTACGTGTGCAAAATTTCAGTTTGATATCTCAAATATCATATACAGACAGACGAACAGACAGACTTACAAGGCTAAATCGTTCTCGTTATGCTGATCCTTCAGGGTGTTACAAATTTCTAGACAAACTTAATATACTACTTAATATAATCACCATGGTACAAATATAGCCACTAATTAGACCATCCTCATGCACATTAACCGGTAACCAAAATTATTGGATCTATTTTTGAAAATTGTAGCCAGAACAAGGTATATAACTATGAGGAACTAATTCGTACAATAAACTTAGCTTAATTGAATCAATACCACTTAATCGGTATAAATAAAATTAAATATTCAGAAATAACCAAAAGCTAAATAGCCGTCAACTTGTGAATTGCGAGTGGTTGCATTTATGTAAGCAACTACTCATTTGGCAGATGGGCGTCCATTAAACGGTCGGCCCATTAAGAAAACAAGCGTCTACACAGTAATTGAACAATTACTTACAATAACAACAGTAACAAGACCGTTTTTTTATCTATTGTAAGAAACGATTGATTTTAAATTTTTCGATTTTCTTTGTTGTTGTATTTATTATGAATAAACAAACAATGAATTAAAAAATAATTTTGAGTACTCGCAGATTCTTCAAAGTTTTAGAGTATCATTTTCGGCGGTAATTACGTTAATTTTAAATGTGCGGAAATTCGAAATTTACTGCCAATGCTTTTGCTATCAGCTACATTTCTTTGCTCAACACTTGACATACACAATTTGGATGTGGAGTTCACACCATGCCCAGATCAACACACAAAGCCAAAGCACTCTGGGAGAGCCAGCCGAGCGTCTCGAGGTCACCGTTAGCTGTCTGAACACCATCATATACAAATATATATATATATATATATATATATAGAAGTATATATATATATATTTGTACTAGAATTGTAGTGGTGATTAAAATACGATGGCTCGCCAAGTCAAAGTCAAGGCTAGTCCTTTCAATAAACGGACGAAATTCATTTAAGAACACTTCTCACCTATTTTCGCTTTTTGTTTCGTTATGCAAATTTGTTGTTGTTGCATTGTATACGCTGATGCGCTTCGAGTAGAAAAATATTTCAGTAAATTTACGTTCAATTCAATTACCAAGTGGTATTGAAGTGCTGCTAGCAACGCCCCATCCACGAATTCACAGCAACGGTATGGTCGAGGCGGTGCTCGTAGGTATAGAGCTCAATGTTTAAGTGTTGCTAGCTGGAATAGCAACAGTTTGAAATGGTGTTGACAGATTCAACAAGCGGCTGACCCATGCTGCCACACAGACACACACATACTAACACGTAAACACATACAAAAACAACAACAACAGCAAGCACGACAGGTGGAATGAGCCTTTGTTAAAGTGATGAAAGTAACTGTAAAAGCATCTTAACAGTATTCCTTTCAGCTGGCTGCTCGAAAAAAAAGCCCTGAAAGCTGCAAACTTAAGGGGGTAAAATACACACTAATACATATGTATGTAAGTGTAAAAATAGCAGCAAAACAAAACGAAACACACGTTTTCGACTACCTGTTTTCACTTTGGGAATACAAAAAGTAAAATAAACATATTAGAAGCACAATATACTTTGAAACTTTGGGAATAGAATTTGCTGTAAATTATCTTTTGGCCAAGAGCAGCAACCATGCATGAAAAAAGTGAGCAGTTAAAATCCATCTAGCAGATGCTGAAGTAAACCAGCGCATAGAAGTTGCGCAAAAAACAAAAATTGAAAGTAAACAGCAAATGAAAATGTTTCAGAGGCTATAATACGAAAAAGTGGCAAAATGGACCTGACAGTGTGGCAAGTTGAGAGCGACAACTGACAGGCGGACTGTGACAGTGAATATTGTAATACCCCTGCAGAAAAATGCGCTAGTACTGAACTTGTGTGGATTTAATCCTTAAAAGGTTTCTGACTCACTTATGTATATGCTGTTTTCTAATAGGTTAGTTTATGTTAACTTTGATTAAAATCTATTGATGTCTATGCTGTAATTGGGTACCAATGTCAGGTAATTGTTTCCAAAATCGTTGAGATTTCGCTAACCGCGGAATTTCCTCTAGTTGAGCTGATCAAACATTTAACAATCCGTTGCTAAAAAACCTACATATCCTGATACTGATGATGTCTAAACTGTTATGTTAGTATGCAAGCCATCAATAACTCTGATATTTACTAAGTGATTAAGTTGGCTTAACATGTTTTGGGAAAGACGCTCCGAAATAGTCCTTCAGTGGTTTTCCCATAACATGTATACGGGCAACACTATTCATCGTTTAGTCTAGAAGCATGCTGCAGTGAGAGACGTTTACGTCAGTCCATTCCCGATGCTACAGTTCATTGCCACTGTCAGTGAAAGTCTTGCCGAGAATCCCCATGAGTTGTACCGTGAAAATATCTCTTGTATGCCAAGCTCATTGGATTGAAAGAGTCAGAGATCCTTGGTTCGTTTATGCGCTTCGAAAACTGTGTCGGTCGGGTAGCTCAAAACTAGAACTATAAAAATGGTTATTTTGGTCAAAGAGATGTTAGAGCCTTTTTCATGAATCGAAAATTTTTCGAAGGAAACCAAAAGAAAAAAAATTAAAAGGCCTTCATTCAACTCTCTATTTTGATAACAGCCTCTATACTTTCAACAGTAACTTGAAATGTTTTAATTCGGTATATGATTTAAAGATAATTTTAGAAAAGTTGGCGAGGCCCTGGTGCTTCAGATTTTGACAAAAAAAAAATAAATAAGTATATTAGTATAAATAATTGTCGCGTAGAATTGTCTACATACTTGGAATCTGGCGATTTCGAAGTGATACATATTCGACGAAATCATTCAATATTGAATCAAAAAATTCATACAAGTTTACATTTCCTACAGGGCATTCATGGTTGTATGTTCGTCTATGCTTACCATTTCAGGCGCTAGAATTCCCATAAAATAAATAATGTAAGAAAGGGAATTTGTGTTTATTTTTGATATACAAGTTGTTATTACTTCATTATTAAAAGTTTGGAATTGTATTGTCAGTGGCAGAAC